TGCTGGGCTCTGGCGATCCTTCCACCTCAGCCTTCCAAGTAGCTGGAATTACAGGCGTGTGCTACCATGACTGGCTAATTTTTTTTTTGATTTATTGTAGAGATGAGGTCTCGCCAAGTTGCCCAGACAGGTTTTGAACCCGCGGGCTCAGGCAATCCAATCACCTTGGCCTCCCAAGGCGCTGGGATTACAGGCTGAGCCACCGAGCCTGGCCACCTCGTATCTTTTCAAGACATCTTCTAAACTATCACCACAATTTTGTTTCTAAGCTGCAGCTCTGATGTTACTCTCTTTTTTTAATTTTTGAGTTGGAATCTCACTCTGTTACCCAGGCTGGAGTGGAGTGGCACGCTCATGGCTACCGCAGCCTCAACCTGCTGGGCTCAGGCGATCCTTCTGCCTCAGCCTTCCAAGTAGCTGGAGCTACAGGCACGTGCTAAGTAGCTGGAGCTAAAGACACGCACTACCATGCCCGGCTTATTTTTATTTTTATTTTTATTTTTTGAATTGGAATCTCACTCTGTTGCCCAGACTGGAGTGCACGCAGCCTCGACCTGCTAGGCTCCGGCAATCCTTCCGCCTCAGCCTTCCAAGTAGCTGGAACTACAGGTGTGTGCTACCACGCCCGGCTAATTTTTTATTTATTGTAGAGATGAGATCTTGCCAAGTTGCCCAGGTGGGTCTCGAACCCGCGAGTTCAGGCAATCCACTCACCTCAGCCTCCCAAGGTATGGGATTACAGGCTGAGCCACCGAGCCCGGCTTATTTTTTTGATTTACTGTAGAGATGAGGCCTCACTAAGTTGCCCAGGCTGGTCTCGAATCCCTGTGCTCAGGCAATCCTTTTGCCTAGGCCTCCCAAAGTGCTGGGATTACAGGCTTGAGCCACCATGCCTGGCCTTGATGTTACTCTCCTACTAAAAATATCTTAAGTGGCAATCTTGTATATTCGAAATAAAGCCTATACCTCTCAGCATGGCATTTAATAACTCTGCAAAGTAAGCATTAATTCTATTTTGCAGAAAAATAAATTGAGACTCAGAAACGGAAAACAAGTTGCTTAGGATCATACAAGCATGCAATGGTAAAACTAACGTTAAAACTCAGGTCTCCTGATGCCAGTGCTCTAGCCATTATAAAGCACCTTCTAAGGACAGGTGTGGTGGCCCATGCCTATAATCCCAGTACTTTGGGAGGTCTAGGCAGGAGGATTGCTTAAGACCAGGAGTTCAAGATCAACCTAGGCAATACAGCAAGACTTCATCTCTACAAAAAAATAAAAAGTTAGCCAGTCGTGGTGGTGTGCGCCTGTAGTCCCAGATACTTGGGAGGTTGAGGTGGGAGAATTGCCTGAGCCCAAGAAGTCGAGGCTTTGATAATAAGCCTTGATCGTGCAACTGAACTCCAGTCTGGGTGACAGAGTGAGACTCTGACTCAAAAAAAAAAGTACCTTCTAAATTGGGGAGAAATGGTAGGTACTGCATGTGTTGTTAGAATGGTGGGATGACTGTTAAATACTCCTTTTCTTCTGAGTAGGGCACATACTTTGAAATACACAAATGAGTAAAGATCCCTATGCTACTTCTTACTACTTTTATAGATCAAACAAGTGATTTAACCTCTCGGCACCTCTGTTTCCTCAGTTAACATGAGAACAAATCATCCCAACCTTATAGTGCTGTTATGAATATAAAGGGCCTAGCACAACTCTAGGTTCAAGAGAGATTCTCAGTGACTGTCATCACTCACTTGTACACCCATTTTAGTGATCCTCAAACCCATTTAAGCAATGGGGTAAGTAGAATTTAAGACAGTAGAGATCTAGATGGGGTGTGAAACTCCCGTGTTTTTCCTAGTTCTGAGGTTAGAAACAGCCCTTTTTAGGGTTTCAATCAGGTTCCCTGCAAGTGGATACCAAGTCAGTACTCCCCTGGGGCAACAGTTGGTTGTGGGGCAACAGTTGGTCGTGTGTATAGTGAGACCCCTGACTAAAAAGCAAATCTTAAGCCTCAGTGCTCATAATGCCCACGATTTGTCACTCCTTGTGGCTGAAACATTATAAACTTTCATTAAAATGCAAACGTTTCCTGGGAGAGGCAGCAAGCATACATATTAACTTCTTGGCCTGATTAGCTTTCAATTCCCTCCTTCTATGAGTCCTTCTATGACTATGTGCTTTGAGCTCAGGGCATGCTCTGAGGCAGGGAACTACCCTCCCTCACCCCCCTCCTTTAAAAAACCTGTTCAGCATTCAAGGCCCATTTTGAACACCTCCTCCAGAAACCTGCTATGATAATTCAGCTAGCTCCTGCCTTCCCCAGATTCCTGTGGTAAAGTACAGGGATTATGAGGCTTTGCTGTATGGAGACCGGCTTGAATTCTAGCTTGTCCTTGACTTGCTCCATGACCTTAGGCTAATAAATGCCTTGACCTCTTTGAGTCTCAGTTTTCCTGCCTGCAAAATAGCAGGTGATAATATAACCTGAGGCCAATAAAGGACAGACTCTGTGTGCAACGTCTTACCTGCTGACTGGAACGCCCCCGTGATTTGTGAAGCTGGTTGATACCTCTCATATGGTACCTCAAGCCCCACAGGACGCCTATATCCTCCCACCCAGCTTCACTGGCCCTCAGGTGTTTAATAACTCTTGTGTTCGTTGGCATCCTGTGAAGCCAGGCAGCCCAGAGTTTCAATTCCACTAGCCTTGCAGCCTTTTACCTAGCAGTAGTGTTAATGAAATGCTAAGTTGAAAGGTTTTCACATTGGCCTGCCCGCCTGCTCGTTGGGAGCCGAGTAGATTACTGGTAAAAACACCTCAATCTCATGATTACTGCATTACACTCGGGACCCTTAGGGATGGCAGAGCTTCCCGAGGTGGCCGGGCCGGCCCCGAGGGCTGAGGCTGGGCACAGCCGCGTACCACTGCTGGGAACCCAGCCTTCAGCGGGAGATTCTCTCCCCCCTCCTGGGACCCACGCGCTCCCTGGAGAACAAACTTTCCTTTACCCTCAGCGGGCCTGGGGCCTGAGTCTGGGACATTCAGCGACACTCCTACGTCTGTATGCCAGAGGTGGGCGGAAGGGGACAGTGAGGTGCTGGGAAGACATCACTACGCTTGCGGCTCTGCCGAAGAGTCCCGAGCACCTGAAAAGCGGCTGCCGAGGCCCAAGGGGCCAGCCCAGCCGGGATGTCGGGGGCGGGGCAGTCCGTGCTCAAACTGGCGGCTCGACCCGGCCCCGACTCCTCGCTCACCAGTCCGGGACAGAGAGCCGGGAGGAGCTTGAACTGAGCTCCGACTCCCGCCCCGGCCTGGGCCCGTCCCCCTGTGGTGCCACTGCACTTCCCTCCCTTCCTGGCCCGGCCCCCAGCCCAGACTGGGCCCTGGCCCGGCCCAGACCCGGCCCCCTGCGATTCCTCTGGGCTCCAGGTTGGCGAAAACAAAGCCCTGATTGACTGCCCGGAGGGGCGGGCCATGCTGCCGGGCCGCCTTCTCCCCTCCCGGGCCCGCCAGGGATTTGCCGGGAAGGGCGGGGGCAGAGGGAGACTCCGGGGGGTGCGCAGGGCCGTTGGGGGGCCGAATCCCGGGGCTCAAGAAGGTTGTTCCCACCCTCTGTTAGAAGCCTGGGCTACCCCCTCCAGGTCGCCCCCCTCAAGCCCAAGGGGAGGGGACACAGGGACTCCCGTGGGCAAGGTGGGGTCCCTTGCAGGCCAGCTCTTGTTTTGGGGTATCCGGGACCACCCCACTTGAAAGCTGCTTGTAAGGAAGGGAGAAATGAGAGCGAAGAACAGGCAGAGTCTTCCCTGGAGACTCGGGATTGATCAATGCCGGTCTTGCAGCCTGCGGGTAGGAGAGGGCAGGGGAACAGGATAGTTTGTGCTTTCTTTTTTCCTTTTTAACTCTCCTCTACCGGGGATCCGGACAAGGAGAACGGGATTCAGTAGTTTAGAAAGGGAGTTGGGAGAGGCAGTGGCGGCTAGAGTAGGTAGGCGAGTGAGGGGAGGAGGAAGGGCTGGGTAGAAGAGCGAGGCTGTAGCGGCTGCCTGTTGAGGGAGCAAGAGGTGGGGGGGGGGAGGGGGAGGAGAGAGAGATGACATGGGGAGAGGAGGAGGGGGTTGGACGGGGGAGGAGGAGGAGAGGGCTCGAGGGACCTTGTGTCGCGGGACGGGTTGGCCAGCTGGGGCGCCGAGCCGGGAGGAGGAGGCAGCAGCAGCAGCAGCCCTCGGAGCAGCAGCAGCAGCAGCAGCAGCAGCAGCAGAAACAAGTACCAGCCACACAGCGGCTCCTCCGGCCCAAGCAGCCACAGTCCCCCGGCCGCGATGGCGCTGCAAAGCCCGGCGAGCGAGGAAGCCAAGGGGCCCTGGCAGGAGGCAGACCAGGAACAGCAGGAGCCGGTGGCTAGCCCAGAACCGGAGCCAGAACCTGAACCCGAGCCGGTGCCAGTACCTCCGCCCGAGCCCCAGCCGGAGCCCCAGCCCTTGCCGGACCCCGCGCCCCTGCCAGAACTGGAGTTTGAGCCCGAGCCGGTGCACGAACCCGAGCCCACGCCTACGGTGGAGACTCGCGGCGCCGCGCGCGGCTTCCAGCCTCCAGAAGGTGGCTTCGGCTGGGTGGTGGTGTTCGCTGCCACCTGGTGCAACGGCTCCATCTTCGGCATTCATAACTCCGTCGGGATCCTCTACTCCATGCTGCTAGAGGAGGAAAAAGAGAAAAATCGCCAAGTGGAGTTCCAAGCAGGTGAGTGGCTCCGCGCACCCCACCTGGCATTCTGAGCAAGGGTGTCCGCTCCCGGTGCCGCCGACCCCATACCTCCTGGTTTGAGGCGCCTCTCCAAAGCGCCGCTCCGACTCCTCCCCTTGCCCCTTGCCCCTTGCCCATGGCCCTGCTAGGGTGCGAGTTGCAGGGCTCTGGGCAGACTCGGCTGTGGAGACTAGGCGCAAGACGTCCCAGGGTTGGCAACTGGGACATTCATTGATCACTGGCAAGCAATGAACTTTTTTGCCCCGGGACAAATCTAGATGCACCTTTCGGATTTGTTTAAAGTACTTTGCCCGTGTATGCCGGGGGGGGAGGGGGGAGATATTTGCTGGTTTTTTTGTTTTTTGAGTAGGGAAGAAGTCACGAGAGGAGAAAGTTGGGAGGCGGGGCGGGTTCTGAGAGAACCACAGAGCCGCTGATCTCCGCAGCAGCCCCCGTTCCTTTGGGAGAGGGGAGGTGTTTTCTGTCAGAAACACTTTAGGAATCCTGGTGACTGAGCGAAGAGTCAAACACATGGCAGGCGTGTGTGTGTGCAGGAGAGAAAGGAGTGGGGGATGTGCGTGTGTCTTTGCACGCCTTGGTTACGGCCCAGCCGGCCGGGCAGTCCTCTGCCGCCCTGGGGGAAGCGAACAGATCTCCGTGCCCTCTGAGCCGAGCCCCAAAGCGGGCAGGGAGGCGGTCTCCGCCGTCTCCTGCCAGAGAGGCAGAAGAAGGCAGGCAGGCTGGGCCCTGCAGCTCACTCTGCGCTGCCTCCAATCTCAGCCCTGCCCTCCCCGGCACCCCACGCCTCTCCGCTATCCGCGGGGTGCCTCGTTCGGCCTAAAGCCGGAATGCTGGCCCGCAACTCCTGCTTTAGCTTGGGGCTGACTTGGTCTCCTTTCCTAAGACAAACAAAAAAGGTTGGGCTTACTTTCCAGGCCTGTGGCTGCAAGACCCCAGGCGTGCGTGCTCCTCTCATTGAGGCCATCTGTGAGTTGGGAGAAGTCAAAGGGGCCAGCCAGCTTTCTCAGCAAAGCCGCTGGCGAAGTCCCTCAGCAGATCTGGTGAGGAGTCTGGTCAGAATCGGAGAATTGGGATGCCCTCTCCCGAAAGGCTTGCTCCCTCTCGTGGTTCCTCAGGACTGCTCCACTTACACCACCTGCCCCAAGTTCGCAACTCAGAATATGTGGCTTTTTACTGTGTTGCCCTGGGACTGGGGGCTTCCATCCTCTCACCAACCCCCAACACATACTTCTGCGCTATCTGAGGGGACCTGGGGATTATTAAGTGAACATAGAAACCTTGAATTCCGGGACATCCACCTGTGGATTCTCCAGAACCTCTCCCACCAGTTTCAACCAAGGACTTGGGGTTTGAGTTTGTAGTTTTACTGGGTTGCCCTGACAGAAGGGGCTTTGGGGCTGTTGGTGCCTCAGACCTTGTAACCTATTGACACAGGCGCAATGTGTAGGCCTCCTTTGAAGAACATTCTTGAGTGTGTCAGTTGCTGTCAAGGGCAGTCTCACAACTACCCAGGTCCACATGATGTTGAACTGGAAAGGTCCCTGAACTGTGTGTAACAATTTCTGAGGGGAAGGTGGCTGCCACACTCACCCTGGGACCACCTTTTTCCTGCTTTGATGCAGTTCAGGGGCTCTTGGGAAGGTGCTGGGATAGAGCCTCAGACTGTTGCTTAGATTACTTGAAAGGGCACCTGCTGAGCGTTGCCCTGTGGCTGAAGGCAGGCTGTTGGCCTTGGGGATCAGTGAGTGGCAAAGTCTGGGTGAAACTTGATAAGAAGCAGTGGAGGCTAGGCTGAAGCGAGGCCTTGGCATTTATGTGGTGTGAGCAGGTCCAGAGCTGGAGCCTTAGGAGTGTGTAATAAAACTTGGAAAAACCACTATTTTACCAGGAAGAGGCTCACTGCTGGGGAACAGACTTCAAAGTAGGTGATCATAGGGGACTCAGGGGGAGGGCTGGCTGGGACTTTCCGGTCAAGACCTCACAGTGCAGCTAGGGGGTGGGGGCAGTGGTACAGTGGGCTCTGCAGAGGTGTGGCTGATGTGTACTCTGACACAGATCAGGTCCACTGAGGAACTGAAGTTACTGGTTTAAATTATGGTAAGTATAGGTCAGGAAGTGACAGAAAGGAATTTGGTATGTCCCCAGGGTCTCAGAAGACTTTGGCTTGGTATATCTTGAACTCACTGAAGCTATTTTTGATACCGGAGGCTCTCAGGAACACCTCAGTTTTTATTTTGGAAAAGTCAGGACACTCTACCACATTCTGGAGCTCCTGGAAAAGCTCATCCTCAGCACTACTTTTCTTGAACCCCTCAGTTTTCCCAAAGTAGCCATTCAAACCCTGGGGTTCCAAATGTGTCTTTGCCTGCCCACACTTTCTGCTGTTTACTCAAACTTTCCCACCCATCTGTACCACTGACCTGTCACATCAAAGGGATAGAAGAAGCTAGTAGAAATGTGCTATTGTCTTTATCAGCTAGATTTGCCCAATAGCCATTCTGGGAGACACAGAACAAACATCCCCACACTCAAGGAGATTTGTGTATTGTCCATTTCTATTAACATCTGACATGACTTCCATCTATAAAAGTCTATAAATGTAATGTTTGGAGGCATCCCACAACCCAAATTCTCTTTGGCTAGGCCTAATATCTTCACAGCCCTAAAGCTGTGCTGATTGGCTATAATGGGTCAAAAGTTCTGCAGATGATTGATGATTGGGTATGCTGTGAGGAAGCCCCAGAGAAAGGCAGTTTTTTGGTTCTTTTTTTTTTTGAGTTGGAGTCTCACTCTGTCACCCAGACTGGAATGCAGTGGCCGCTCCCGGCCACCGCAGCCGCTCCCGACCACCGCAGCCTTGACCTGCTGGGCTCCTGCGATCCTTCCGCCTCAGCCTTCCAAGTAGCTGGAACTACAGGTGCGCGCTACCACACCCAGCTCATTTTGATTTACTGTAGAGATGAGGTCTCGCCAAGTTGCCCAGGCGGGCTCAGGCAATCCACTCACCTCAGCCTCCCAAAGGCGCGGGATTACAGGCTGAGCCACTGAGCCCGACTGAGAAAGGCAGTTTAAAAAAAATTTATTTTAGAGTTGTGGGGTACAAGTGAGGAATTGCTACATAAGTAGGCTGCATGCAGGTGAAATTTGGGCTTCTAGCTGGCCCTCACTCCCCCTGGTAGTGAACCAGATATCCATTGTGTTGTTATGTGCCCCCCTCCCCCCTCCCTTCCTCCATCCCTTTCCCAGCAGTGCCTAGTGACTGCCGATCCCACCCTTCTCCTAATGTGACTAGGAGAGAGGTAATTTTTTAAAAATGTTTTTAAAAGATGGAGTCTTCCTCTGTTGCCCAGGCTGGAGGACAGTGGTGTAATCATAGCTCACTGCAGCCTCAAATTCCTGAACTCAAATGATCCTCCCACGTCAGTCTCCTGAGTAGTGGGACTACAGGTGTGTGCTATCACACTTGGCTGATTTTTTAAAAAATTTAGAGATGATATCTTTCTGTGTTGTCCAGGCTGGTCTCAAACTCCTGCTTCAAGTGATCCTCCTGCCTCAGCCTTTCAAGTATGCTGGGAAGAAATGTAGTTTTGAAGTATAGCTCCATATTAGGGGGCCTCTGAGTATGGGGAAAAACCACAAGAGGCAACAGAGAAGTAGAATTCAGGCCATTGTGGAATTCAGACATACTAGAACATGCAATGTACAGTCTTTGTGAACTCTGTGATGTGTAAAGTTCTGTGGTGTCAACAGCAGTATATCTTGTCCCCTCTTTACCTGTTTTGGAGAGAAACCAACTTTCCCTGGGTCCTAGGCCTGGATGGATTGGGAGGTCAAAGGTTCCTAAGAAGGAGGCAAGTGAAGTGACCAAGGTCTGGTTTAGTGAAAAAAGGGAAAAGATCAGGAGAGAATTGAGCCTATACATTTTACAGAAATCATGGAATTTCCTCAATACAGACCAAGCATCAGATAGGACAGAAGGCAACCAGGTAATTCTGTGGAAAATATAGGTCCAGCATGGCTTCTTGGGATACTGGGGGAGCATTTTGGAGGAAAGAGGAGCAAGATGGCATTGGTTGCAGGCCCCAACTCACTATTGGTATCCCAAGTGAGTTGTAGTTGGGGTAGGGTTAGGGCTAGGGGATAGGGTTAGGGGACAAGGCAGAACAAGCCAGAGTTGCTAACACTGAATCCAAGATTAAGTCCTTTTCAAAGTGTTCCAGAGTAAATCCATTACCCTGCACTTTCAACCTTCACTACCAGTCCAGCACTGAGCCATAAAATTGATTAGGGGAAATTTTTATTGGGCAGTTTATAAACATGGTCCTTGTAAACTTCTGAGGTGGGACAGGGCTGGGGCTCTCACCACCAGACAAAGAGATAGTAGTCAGGAAGTTTCACTACTAAGCACAAGATGGTTCAGGCTGAGCTGATGGGCCACTCTGATGGTGACAGAATTTTCTAGACATGAAGAAGAATGGTATACTCTGCCTTTGGATGAACAAGAGTCTCAAGGATGAGTGGGGCTGGGCCATAGTAGACTATGTTTCTCCGCTCAATCTTACTGGTTTGCATTGCTTGGGTTTAGTGTCTCACTGTACTGTAGCACTACATTGCCAACTTTGAAAGCAAGGTATCTTCTGAGAAAATTTGTCAATCCCTTGATGCCAGCTAAAGGCTTTTGCCTACTGTCCAGCAGAGCTAGATCAGATTGGCTCAGAGCCTGCTGTGGAGTTTCAGGCTACAGGGCCATCAGACAGGCATCTTTTAAGTCACTCCTTTGTCTCCTCTGCAATCAAACTGGATCCTAAACTGTGAATGACTCATACTGAAAGAGATGAGAATAAGAGCTTGGGGCAAGCCAACCCAAGGAGAGGGTGGCTGTTTGAGCTGGGATAGCTGATTGAGACTGGATGCCTGGCTCACTGTCTAGTGGCCTTGAATGCTCATTTTGAGTCTAAAAGGCAAGATCTAAGACC